TTCCAAACCCAGTTGGGTTGAGTACCACGATACCGTGGTACACTCCTGGCCACATATGCAGATGACACTGCATTTCTTGCAGCTAGTAGCATCACTACGTCTGCCTCCCGACGTTTCCAGAAATTCTTGGACGAATTGGAGTGCTGGGCCTCTGGATGAAACATTGCGCTTAATGTTGACAAAACGCAGCATGCAACATTTGCATCCGCCCTGGCCGATCGCGTACCCCTCACATTGATGGGAATCAGCTCAAGCACGAAGATAAGGTGACGTACCTCGGAGTTACCTTAGACCGTCGCCTTTGTTGGAAGGGACAAATTGATCGAGTTTGTCGATCAGCAAGAACAAAACCTGACAAAATGGACTGGCTCCTTTGTCCAGGTAGCGGACTATCCCTTGAAGCCAAGGTGGGGCTTTTTAAGGCCATTGTCCTTCCAACTTTAAACTGGGGAATATCTTGCTGGGGCACGGCCTGATTCGTCCCTAAAAAGGGTGCAAACGTGCATTACAAAGGCTCTCAGGAGGATGCTGGGGGTGAAGTGGAGACAATTTGTAAGTCCTCAAGTCGATACCGGGAACGTCTGCTCACACATGTAAACTGTCTGGCAAGACATCTTGCAACACCACTGGGTCGACGGCGTCTCCGCAGACGACACCCGGCAGACTTATGGATTCTCGGTCGTGAAAGACACGGTCGTCTTCTGTAACAACACATCCTGATTGCTTACGACCGGCTATGGCCATAATTGATTTGCCCAAGAATGGGATCTTTAGAAATATTTTGTCAATACACGAAAACAAGGTCCATCCTTGTGTGGCGTGTTAAAAAATCTAAAAACAATCTAGAATATGGTTGGTAGCAGAATCATTAAAAAACAATTACAGTTTTTCATTTTACATAACAATTTGTAACTAAAAACATATGCGCAACTTTTTCTTTTTTCAGTTTTTATCACAATTTTGGTTGGGACCATAGACAAAAGTATTTAAAATAACATCATATTTAATTTTTATATTTCACATCATTTGAATCGAAGGGAAGGACCTCCCCAAGCGGCACGTGTTGAGTTCAAAAACATTTTCTAAAAATAATTCCTACGAAAGCACGCTTTTACGGCTGCCATAGAAACGATGGCAAAATGCAGAGACAAAGCTTCATTAATTTTAGTAATATAGGCATAAAAATCGAAATGTAGTCGGTTTGTAATAACTGCAAGGGTATATAAGCCTCGGCTTGCCGATATTTACTTCCTTTCTTGTTATACCCTTGCAGAGGGTATTATAATTTTGGTCAAAAGTGTGCAACTCAGTGAAGGAAACATATCCGACCCTATAAATCGCGTCCTGAGTTGATATAAGCATGTCCGTCTGTCTGTATCGACGCGAACTAGTCTCTCAGTTTTAAAGATATCGAATTGAAACTTTACACACACCCTTCGTTCCTCGTTATATTTTCATTTTTATACCTAACGCAGTGAAGGAGTCATTTCCGACTCTATAAAGTATATATATTCTTGATCAACATCACCGTCCGTCCGTATATACCTGAAGTTTGAAGTGTCTGTGTTTTTCTTTGTTAAAAAAAAATTCCTGAAAATTGCCTATTTTTTGTCACAACTAACCAGAATGGACACTTTAATTTGTCTAAAACTACATTCAAATAATAGAACAACAATTAAAACCAAATTTTAAAGTTTTTAATAGTTTTTTGTTTTTTAAATACTCAAAAAATATATCAAAAAAATTTGAAAACGGTTTCCCACATTTAAAGTGAAATATATTTCACCGTAGACTGTCTTTTGTTCAAAAAATTGTTTTATAAAAACAAATAAATCAAAATAAATAATGAAAATATATATATTTTTATACCCGTTACTCGTAGAGTAAAAGGGTATATTGTATTCGTGCAAAAGTATGTAACAGCTAGAAGGAAGCGTTTCCGACCCTATAAAGTATATATATTCTTGATCAGGGTCACTAGCCGAGTCGATATAGCCATGTCCGTCTGTCCGTCTGTCTGTCTGTCCGTATGAACGCTGAGATCTCGGAAACTATAAAAGCTAGAAGATTGGCATTTTGCATGCAGGTTCTAGGAGTTCCTACGCAGCGCAAGTTTGTTTCACGCCCCCTTTAACGCCCACAATCGTTTATATACGATTTTAAAAATTTAAATATTTCGGAAAAGTAAAAATGCAGTTTTATTGTGTTTATCAATACCTATCGAAATGTAGAAGAAATTTTTCAAATCGGACCATTCGTTAAAAAGTTATGCGTGATCAAAGTTTCTATCTCCATCTCCCTCGCACTCCCTTTACCTGAGTAACGGGTATCTGATAGTCGGGGCACCCGACTATAGCGTTCTCTCTTGTTTTTATATATTTTCAGATGCACTGGAGATTAATAAGCCGCCAGAGTGCAGCGACAAAATTTTTAGGAATACGTTTCAAAACATAAAAATAATAATGCAGTTGAAAATTGTAATGTTACTTTATATATGATATAAAAAAAGGAATACTTATTAAAATTTTTTTAACTATACAACTATCCATGAACTTAAAAAAAGTGTCATGGGTGATTTCATGTAAAACATAAAACATGGGTTGTGGAATAGCTGAAGAGACTATGCACGCATCGCTTGAGATGAAGAAAGGCCTGTCTATGTCAGTTTCGAAATTGGACGCCAGACATTGTGTAATTCAATACAAGTTTTAACAGCATAACGACAGCGAATTGGAAGTTAGATCATTTCGGAGAGCGCGTATTATAATTTCAGTCAAAAGTTTGCAACGCAGTGAAGGAGACATTTCCGACCCTATAAAGTACCTATGTTCTTGAAAAGCATCAACAGGGGAGTTGATCTAACCATGTCTGTCTTGTCCGTCCGTCTGTCTGTCCGTCCATCCGTTTCTACGCAAACTAAGGCCTCAGTTTTAAAACTATCCCCTTGAAACTTTCCCAATAGTTGTCAGAATATTGCAAGTAAGTCGGCACGAACTGGATCGGGCGACGAAATCATAGAGCAAAACAATGGTATACAAAATTTAAAAAAGTACAACTTTATTGTTTTACATTTTTTGTTTGTTCTTTGGGATTTGATTATATTTAAATACTATGGAATAACGGCTTAATTAAATTAAAATGGGACATCTATATCATATAGCTCTCATTGGAAAGTAAAAAAATTAAAAAAAATCGAGGGCGGAAACTAACTTCGGCAAGCCGAAGTTTTTATACCCTTGCAGACTTCGCCGAAATCGCTAAAACTGAAAAAGTAGCGAAAAGAATAAGGTATACATAAATAAAATAGATTTGCATAGTTTCATGTCAATTGTTTTTATACTGCAAAAATGTCATATAAAAATAGAAAAAAGGGATAATTTCGCCGCCTTTAACAATTTTTCATACGGAAGCTAAGATATAGACGTCCGATCGCCAAGCGCTTTTACGCTAATCAAGATATGCATAAAGAAATAATTTATGTCAATAACTTATATACTGCGCGAAATATCCTAAAAATCATTAAATTTTAACCGATTTCACCCTATTGTTCTATGGGGGCTATAGGATATAGACGTCCGATCGGCAAGCGCTTTTACCCTGATCAATGTATGCATAAAAAAATAAAATTTGGAAAGATTTTGTCAATAGCTTTTACACTGCGCGAAATATCTTCCATTCTTGCAAGTTATATCCGATTGTTCCCATGGGAGCTATAGGATATAGACATCCGATCGGGGCAGTTTTCAAACTTGATCTACGTACACATGTTTTAGGACGACTGACCAAAATTATAATACCCTCTGCAAAGGTATAAAAATATAAATGAAAAACATTTTATTTTGCTGTTTTCTCTATTTTTTTAAATATTTTTTTGAGATATAGTAATTATTTACTAAATCAGAATTACGCTTTTAGTTTTGTCAAAATCTTTCATATAGCTGCCATAGAAACGGTGGCAAAATGCAGCTCAAAATCGACATTGTTTTTATTAATATTTGCATATAAATCGAAATTTAGTCATTTTGTTATAACTGCAAGAGTATATATCTTCAGCTTGCCGAAGTTTGCTTCCTTTCTTGTTATATTTAAATCCAATGAATTTAAAAAACACTCTTGGAAAAGTTTGAACCTGATAACAAAAAAATAGTGTTCTTAGAACATGATCCGGGCGAAATTAAATTTCTTTTTAAAAATTGTTTAAGAAGTAGGGCCATTGATGGTATAGGCCGGTTTACTAAAAATGTATGAAATTATATACGTGTTTTATAATTTCCAGACATAAATTATTTTGAATCATACAACCATAAACAAGAGAGAACGCCATAGTCGGGTGCCCCGACTATCAGATACCCGTTACTCAGGTAAAGGGAGTGCGAGGGAGATGGAGATAGAAACTTTGATCACGCATAACTTTTTAACGAATGGTCCGATTTGAAAAACATTTCGATAGGTATTGATAAACACAATAAAACTGCATTTTTACTTTTCCGAAATATTTAAATTTTTAAAATCGTATATAAGCGATTGTGGGCGTTAAAAGGGGCGTGGCACCTTTTTGAAACAAACTTGCGCTGCGTAGGAACTCCTAGAATCTGCATGCAAAATGCCAATCTTCTAACTTTTATAGTTTCCGAGATCTCAGCGTTCATACGGACAGACAGACGGACAGACAGACGGACAGACGGACATGGCTATATCGACTCGGCTAGTGACCCTGATCAAGAATATATATACTTTATAGGGTCGGAAACGCTTCCTTCTAGCTGTTACATACTTTTGCACGAATACAATATACCCTTTTACTCTACGAGTAACGGGTATAAAAATTATGAAGGCTTGTTTTATTGGTGATTATTTTAGTATGTGTTACTCAAAATTTTGATATGGTATAAGCCGTTTTAATCGACATAACACACTTCCTTACAAATATATCGAAAATAAAATCAACTTCTAATATAATCAATGAAGTTCATTGCTGTATCGTACAGAAAGCAGTAAAGTTTTAAATTTTATTTTTGTTTTATTTGTTTAAAATAACTACTTTTAATTTTGCGTTCAACGTGAATTTGAAAACAGTAGCAAAGGAAAATTAAATAAAGCTTGTTTTTGACGCTAGATATTATAAATAAATGAAAATGCTGCATTCCCCGGTTTTCACATAATTTCCACAATATTCAGTAGTCTGCATAACCTTTTTGTGGTCTCGTTTTTTGGTGTCAGTGGGTTGTCGGCGGATCGAACTACTTAGATTCGATTGGAAATAAAGTAGATGAGGACAGCAATTGCAATGCAGCCAAGAGGTAGGACTCGGTGCAGTAGTAGTTGGTTTCCAGGTGGTGTGTGCTGCTGCTTAAGGTGCGAAATTTCATCGCGAAGCTGCTTGTTGCTACTCTCCGAATTTTCAAGTCGTTCTTTGTAAACTATCAGTTCTTCCTCCCGCTCCATTTGTAAATTATTCATGGCAACGATATCCTCGTTCCAAGCATTCTCAGTGCTATCTTGACCATGTTCCTGCCCCGAAGTTTGTCGCTGCTCACTGCTTTTTATTCTGTTTTTCTGCAGCTTTGCAATAGCATTGTGCTCAATCTCCTGTTCAAGCTGCTTCTGTAAAAGCTTGATCTGTTCTTGCATGCAATGAATTTCGAAAGTCAACCGCTCCGTCTTTTCCTTGTATGTATCACATTCCTCCTGTAACATTTCTATGGCTTGCTCTGTGGGCAATTCAGGTGGTATATAAAGATATTCCCCGGCGTTCACCAGCGTCTTTTGGCTTTCTATCTTGTAAGCTGAAGTGCAACTTGCAGCCGGATCCACAAAAGGTTCAGCCATACCATTGGGCACAACATACCTTGGAAAATTGTGTGCAAGCTCATTACTAGTGCCCACACGAAGCTCAGTTGCGACATCCGAAGCCTGAGCGTCAAGATTTTCCTTCCCCTCCTTAAGTTCGCTTTCAGAATCTTCATCGTCATCGTTGAAGATTGCCCTCAGCACTGCGGAGCCATCTTCGCCCTTCGTAAGATCTGAGTTCTTAAGCAACTTGATAACACTTGATTTGCGGATGACCTTTTCCAAATCTATTTCGCTCAAGTTCAGCTTTTTGTTCTAAAAATGGGAATATATATTTACAAATAGTTTCAAGCGGGCTGCTATTAAAATTACCATCTTTTGTTTTTCCGAATCTTCAGACTGCTGCTCGATGCCTATCATGTCATCTTCTGGTCCACCCGTAAGATCCTCGTCGACACTTTCTATTTCTTTTTCATATTCGTCATCGTCGGGAATAATGGCGTCCAATTGCTTGAGGACATTTTGCTCCTCCAACTTATGTTCGCTATCATACTCAACAACGGATTTTTGGAGGTGCGAAACCTGCAGCCGTAGTTTCTCCAGTTCGCCATATTGCAAGCTAATTTTCTCTTTTAGCAGCTCCAAGCTGTGCTCCTCCTGTTCTTTAGCCTCATGTTGTTGACGCAAAGATTCCTGTTTATACTCAATGTACTCCTGCTGAAGTTGCTCCAGCCGAGCGTTAAAGTCCTGCAGGGTCTGCTTCGATGTAACCATTTGGGCGCGCAATATGCCGCACTCGTTTTCTGATGTAGCGTAGGCCAACTCCATCTTGGAGAGCATTTGCATAGCATCGCAGCGTTCCTGGTAGACCTTGCGCAGGGCCTCTTTGGCAGTCAACTGGTAAGTGGTTTTGTCCTCAAGAAGCTTAACAACCTTCCAAATCAAAAATAATAAATCAGTAATCTAATCACGCCAGACGGTATTTCGCTTACCTCGTTACGTAATGCATTCTCTGGAACGTTCTTCTCCATCATTTGCAACTTCTTTTCTAGAAGACTTATCTTGTGCAATAACTGGTCTTCAGATATCATACTCTGCCAACACATGGCAGAGTTCTTCCGGGTAGAATCAAGGATGCCTTGCAAGCTGCTTAGCTTAGCTTTCAGCGTCTTCTCCCTCTGCGCCGCCTCTTGAAGAAAAGCGTTCAGACGCTGGACTTCGTCAAAGCTGATGCGGTTTGGGCCTGTCAATATCTCGTCCGCCTCTATTGAAATGGCCTCACGGCCATCGGGTAAAAAGAGGGTGACACGAGCTATGATGCAACCGTGCACCTCCTGGCGGGAGTTCTCGATCACCTCAACGCCGAACTTGACGGTATCGCCATAATGCAGTTCCGCAGGATCATTACCCAGCTTGTTGTCATTGATAAAAGTACCGTTGCTCGACTTTGTGTCCTTGACCCAGAAACGACCGTCCGGGGTATACCACAGAATTGCATGATTTCTTGATAATACCTTGCAGTCAAAAATTGCGTTTCCCTCGCTTGCTTTGCTTTTGGCAATGAGGCGACCCACTTTGCAATCTTGGTTTGGCTGCAAAAGAATAGACCTTGTCTCAAACTTGTGCGACTTGGGTTCGCACTGCAATACGATTTTTGCATCACCCGTGCATATCGCGGAGGCCGAGTCAGATCCAATGCATAGATCTACGGAGACCGTTGGTGCCACGGGAGCGACCATCAAAGTGCCGCAATCCATTGTCGACTCTCTTTGTAAAATATTTTTGTTGAGTAAGCCCAGCGAACTGTACAGATTGTCAGAAGTAGTAACTCCCATTCCGACTCCAGCGATGTTTGCATGCTGCACCGAATTCATGGTAATGTGTAGCACTTGTTGAGGGACTTCAGAAGGTATATGCACAGTCGAACTATGATCGGGGCTGCTCACGCTCTGCAAGGTATTTGTGTTAGAGTCACAGACCTGCATGTTGTTGTTTTCCTGGTTCTCGATAGCCTCCTCGTTGTTACTGTCCCTCTCCATTATATGAAAAAGTGGTTCCGGTTCTATATTTTTCGTTTCCACGTTTGCGGTTTGCTGGGCTTTCTTTCGCTTGACAGTCGATTCCACCCCCACCCCGGCTGTAGGTCTGGTTGTTTTAGAAGATTCCGTGCTTGTGCTGGTCATGCCCCCGTTGCTTAATGATGCGACTCCGGCTACTCCTGGTGCTAGCGGCGGCGACGCTGGATTTGGCTTCTGGTCATCATCCTTATTGGTCAACCACTCGTTGCTCACCAAGACCATCACTGCACGTCCAGATTTCCAGATTTACACAATGTGCGCGGGTGCGAGAACAGAACGGATTTACAAGTTATTATTAAGGGAATAGAAAAGCGAATGCTTAATACTTAAAATTCGAGTTTTAACTGTTTATTCAAAGAAACATTGACACTGTAGAGTGAACTCTCAATGATGGCCTTTATTTTGAAGGTCACTTACAAAGAACTGTATACTTACACATAGATAATTATAATTATATCTTTTCGCCAAACCTTCCACATTTCTCAATCGTGTAAAAACACAACAAAAAATCTTGTTCGTAAATAATTCCATTAAATTATATTTGACCAATCCATACAAAAATCGGATTGTACACAGAACGATCGGTTAGAGTTGGAGTAAGTCTCCTACGTGTCTGTTCAGTGTAGGCAATGTAACCATGGCCCTTGCGCCACTTTAGACACACAAAAACAAGTGTAAGGGGTCCCACCAGATCGACAGACTACTTCAGACCAGCGGCTTCGTGACTCCACACCACTAAATACAAGCGGGGGCTGATTTACGAGTTTAGCGCGTAACTGCGGAGGAATTGCAACGACCGGCTGAAAATGTTAACAGTGGGATGGCGGGGTCACCCGCCTCATCGTTGACTGTCGACAACAGAACCGCGGATTACATTATCTCGCTTAATTGAAATTAATTAAAATGTTAAGAATAGTGTAGGGTGGCTGACGGCTAAAATTTAGGGTTTTAAAATGCCCTTGCGTTGAGCCGCGGAATTGGACTTACCTCGGGGTTTGGTTACTGTGCTTGATTTAATTTTGCAACTTGATTTATTTCTTTTCTTTCGACTGGCATCGGCTCAATTGCTTTTAGTTTTCTTCAACTCTTTCTAATCGTTAGGCGTACTATGTACGATCAGACGCCTTTTATGAGTGTTCACTCGGAAAAGACTTAAAAAGCAAAGTTTTTTTATAGGGTAATCCCACAAAGCACATCACAGCGGAATAGTTGGTTGCACTGAGCACGTTTTCATCCCCAGTCTTAACAGCCGTGACGACAACCGCAAAAAGTTCTATTAATACTTAAAGCCTAGTATCCCGATCGACAAACGATTACGCTAGCGTAAAAACTTTAATCTTTCCAGTGTGACCAAAAGTTTGAGAGTTCATCAGATTTAAGCGTGCTATGGTCGTACTGTCAATCAGCTGGGTTTGTTGACAAGCAGTTAAAATTCAAATATCGTATTTGCGGGAAAGAGCCTTTAAAAGATATTATCAAATACCTTGGCAAGATAAGTCTGCCGCTGTACAAAGAAATTAATAAACAATACAATTTAAATTTAACAGATGTTTGTTTTAATTTACTGATAATTATTTGCTAATTTAAAGTTCATAGCTGCACTTTTATTGTGTTTTTTCGTACATTCTGGACTTAAAAAACATTTTGCTCTGACAAGAGGCACCCCAGATAGTATTAATGTTATTTTGTCCTCACATGTAAACACCTGCAATCGACTTTTGTGAGTTTTTTGAGTTTTCCCCTCCATTTCTTATAATGTTCAGTGAGAAGCGCACGCCAAAAGATTAAATTTTTTAATCTTTTCGCTAGGGTTCACCCAAAGTTTATTTCCCCAGACTGGCAACGCTATGGAATTTTCTGGTATTTTTTTCGTCGATCAGGGGACCGACGTGAAAAAAAGGCCCGACGAAAGGTGAACGCCAGCTGTTTGCCTCTCGCTCTCTCTCATGACTGGCGTACGGTTTTCGTCGATCAGGATACTAGGCTTAAATAACAAAATTGTACTTTTTTAATAATAAATTCTTCTAAAAATGTAAGAAATTTTAATTTGTTAAACGCAGAGCAAACTTAATCAAACGTGTTTTGTTTCTCCTACCAAAAAATAAATTCTAGAATTTAATAATTTATTAACCAGATATCATATAAAATATATATATATACCATCATCATATTGGGAATTTGTCACATTTTTCTACAATACCCGAGTAGACAATCTTTTTATAAACCAAAAGGTGTTAAAAAAAAAACTTAAATTAAATTAAATGAAATTTAGCGTTTGTATTGTATTGTGATATTACCCGCCTATGCGGACAAATAATTCAAGCTGAAATATTTAAAAAATGTTTTGAAGCAATTTATTTATATGCCATTTTCTAATACTGGCAACAAACTCTTAATAAAAAAGATTTGTTATGCCGTCTTTCCACAGAGATCCATCCACCATCCGTTGAACGGATGGTCCTTACGCTCGAGATAAGCTGGAGGAGCAGCGTGCGGAGACCGAGATCATGTCATTGAATTGAGCTTGAGTGTCTGCCATCCTTAACATTAAAAATAAAATAAAATATGAAATTATAATGAAACAAAAAAAAACATTTATATTTAATAAATTTGATTTGTTACCATTTAGACAATATTGGTAAAAATCGGTTCATATTTTAGCTGCAACCTGACAAAAATCTGCAGACATATTAGTTCGATTTGGTTGTTTGCGATTAAAATGTTGTGCAAAATGCAACGGGCTAAAATGATGAGCCACAGCTGTTCAGATCAGCTGTTTTCGGATGGTGGATGTGCTCTGTGGGAATCGGAGTTTCACATTTGTCAGAATTCCCAACCGTTTCGAACGGATGGACTCTTTGGGAAGAGGGCATTACTCATTTTCTAACATATTTTTATTTAATTTGTAGAAAAATAAAAAAACCTCTCTTTTTACAAGTTCCACTATTTCGTTTCCATCGGTAATGCCGTCTTCCCACATAGATCCATCACCATCCACCATCCGTTGAACGAATGGTTCATAAAGTCTTGCCGTTCCGAAATTTCCCATTTAGTTTCCCATCCAAAATTTACGGACTTTTTATGCGATAGTTAGGCGATGTTTTTGGGTGCAACTCTGAGTTCTTCTTCTTGACAGTGAAAATTAAAACATTCACTATGAAAATGTTAACATTAATGACGGGAAACTTTTGAAAACGGAAGGCGCCAAATAAAAAAATGCTGTTTATACTTGTAATACTTAATAATTTACGGCTCCATCCGTGTGGTAGCATTAAGAGACAGAGCTGGCAAAAATGCAGATTTATTAGTCCGATTTGGTTGTTCCAAGTAATTTTGTTTCTGTTACCAAGTATCATTTAAAGCGCTGTTGTGCTTATTTAAATGTTATTTAAAATGCAACAGGCTATATTGATTAGCCACAGCTTTTCAGATCAGCTGTTATCGGATGGTGGATGTGCTCTGTGGGAATCGGAATTTCACATTTGTCATAAATCCGATTCGATCGGATGGACTCTATGGGATGAGGGATAACAGACCACCGCTTATTTGAAGGAAGTATATCCGAAGTGTACTTATTAGTAACGTAATCAGCGTTAGTTAAAATACGTAATTTTTTTACGTTTACGTTTTTTTGTTTTTGTTATCAATTTACCCTAATTCTGGAAAATATTTTGTTTGGTTTTTCTTTATAAAAATAGGTTCGACTTCAGGCCGAATTTGCTAAGCCTTACTGAAGCCGATGCACTCACCACAGGTTGAATATCAAACTATATGTCCACTTAATAATTATTATTTTATGATTATGCACATAATTTTTGCGTTTCCTCTACTAAAGTGTTGAATAAAAAAAGTCGATAGTCCCACCAGAATATCGATATTGTCAAAAATGTTAAAAACATCCATGCATCGAGAGCGAGTGGCAAACAGCTGGCGTTCACTTTTCGTCGGGCCTTTTTTTCACCTCGGTACTCAGATCGACGAAAAAAATACTAGAAAATTTCATAGCGTTGCAAGTCTGCTGAAATGAACATTGGATGAACCCTAGCGGAAAGAATAACATATTTAAGCCTAGTATCCAGATCGACAAACGATTACGCTAGCGTAAAAACTTTAATCCAAAAGTTTGAGAGTTCATCAGATTTAAGCGTGCTACGGTCGTACTGTCAATCAGCTGAGTTTGTTGACAAGCAGTTAAAATTCAAATATCGTATTTGCGGGAAAGAGCCTTTAAAAGATATTATCAAATACCTTGGCAAGACAAGTCTGCCGGTGTACAAAGAAATTAAAAAACAATACAATTTAAATTTAACAGTTGTTTTTTTAATTTACTGATAATTATTTGCTAATTTTAAGTTCATAGCTGCACTTTATAATTTTATTTGGATAACTTACATAAAATGTACTTGTATTTTGTTTAAATATACTCCTAAAGAAGCTAAATTTTGAAAATTAAACCTACCCTGTTAAAATAAGTAATAAATTTTATATATTTTATTAAATATATATATTTTATTAAATATACTAAATAATTGAAATGGGGAATATGTTAAATATTCTATTAAATTAATTAAATAATTTAAGTAGTCAATATATGGAATATACTATTTAATAATTCAAATAGTTAATATATTAAATACTATACCTAATTAAAATAGTTAATATACAAATACATACTTAAATATTATATATACATTTTATAAAAATTACCCATTTTTAGTATTTCTTATGAATATTAAATTTGGTTAAATGATTTTTTAATTTGATTTGTAAAACGCGCGCTTTTGGGTGAAAAGCGCGCATACTTATATTTAAATTAATTATAAAAACATACCTTTTAACACAAAACATATAAAACTGCTTGAGTAAAACAGGCATGGATAAAAAATAAAGCGACATATATTTAATTAAATATCCTTTAAATATATTCCATTTAAATAAACTTCGCTTGGTTTTTTTTTAACAATCATAGTATATTCAAATATATTAAACTTTATTGAAATATTTTTAAATTTAATCAAGCAGTTTTATATGTTTTGTATTAAAAGTTATGTTTTTAGCTTTAATTTAAATATGTAAAACGAAACTATGAATTAAATATGCAGATATTAATATTTAAGGTATATAAAAAAGTTTTATATCAAGCTTCATTGCCACATATAGTTAAATAAATGTAATTTAAATAATCATCCTGTTCAATCATAGAAGTTATTTTGACACACAATTAGTTTCTTAGTCCAGAAATGATTTCTGGACGAAAATCGTCTTCTCGAACAAATACGCACACATACGCACTTCCTTATTCGTGCAATTCTATTTTTAGATTTTTACGCTCTCAACTTTGTGCGAGCGGAAAGAGCGGAATTTTCGTCGCCACCAAAAAACGAGCTCCATATTGCAAAACCAATGTATGGGAGTTACGCATCTTAGTGATTATATTGGTCTTTGGTAAAACCCACGGCTGAACCGGCATCTTAATCACGAAACGCATTAAAAAGGTTTGCAACTACTTACTTGCAGGCCACGTCTATCAAAGTGCAGTCAGGTAACGGACACCCTTCCATAGCCGCTGGCATCTGCCACTATTTCAACACCACAAGGGAATGACGTGCAAGCCAACCATTTGAAAACTAATTTCCAATTAGAACAGCTTGTATTGGAAAAGAGGCGTCTGCGACGTGCTTGGTAAACCAAAAGATCGCACTCTTCAAAATAACGTTTTAAGAAAGCAAACTGCACGCTAAACCGAGCCCTGAAGAAAGACGCTAAAATTGCACAAGTACGGGACATCGGTACAATTAGTACAAAACATTCTCTGTGGAGGGCTCACCCAAATCTGAGTTCTCCAAAGGAAACAGTCACTCCAAAAAGAAATTCATCAGGTAACTGGGCCAACAGCGACGAAGATAGAGCCGAAACTTTTGCTTCACATCTTTTTGCTTAGCTTTTTCTTAAAGCCTAGTATCCACTTCGACGTAAACCGTACGCCAGTCATGAGAGAGAGCGAGAGGCAAACAGCTGGCGTTCACTTTTCGTCGGGCCTTTTTTTCACTTCGGTCTCCTGATCGACGAAAAAAATACCAGAAAATTCCATAGCCAAAATTCCATGCCAGTCTGCGGAAATAAACTTTGGGTG